CCGTTTCTTGTCTTTTTCTCTTAAAGCGGCTCGAAATCTGTTGTCTATGTAGTATCCTTTGACAAGAATTTTAGATCTGGACATCGGCGAGGGCACAAAGGCATCAAAGGTTGTGGCGAAGAGGGTCGGTGGAACAGATTAAGAACCCTATACTTATACAAATTTTTTGAAGAAGATGAATGATTTGTATTGAGGGGAGGGGCTGAGGTTTAAGAGATTGATTTTAATTACTTGACCTTCTAGATCTAAACTTAAATTTTGATTTTTTTAGATTAATTTTTTTATCATTTAGCTTTTATGAGATTGAAGAAGAGGTAGAAACATGGGGAAGGAGTATGGTAAAGAGATGAAGAAGAAGAAAAGGAAAAGAAGAACAAAGAAATAAAGGAAAAGAACTGAAGGGGAAACACGAGAGGGGAAATGGAAGAACAAGAAAGAGACCACGAAGGGGTGTGGTTGGTTAGGGGAAGGTAATTAGGAAAGTCAATTATTTTATTACTTAACATTAAAAACCATGCCAAGTCAAACATGCCAAGTCAAACAGGAAGTTTCAACTTGGATGGAGGGAGCATTTATTATATTTCCTTCTTTATGTAGGTTTCCTTAGATAATTTTGGTAACCATTTAGATGTGTGTCTCTCTCTCTCTCTCTCTCTCTATATATATATATATATATATATATATATATATATATATATATATATATATATATATATATATATATATATATGGACCTATAGTATAATGAAAAGCAAGTCATTGAATTATAAAATATCTGCATGGTATCGAGGCTACTCCTGGCCCATCTGATAGGCGTGTCGTAGCACTTACAAATTAATTTACTAATTTCCTTAACTTAAATCCCCCTTAATGTATTAATATTCATAAAATATATAGATAGGGTAAGTAAGGGTCGATCTCACGAGGAAAGATACTTTTAAACTCTAAAAATTAGTTTACTTTTGTCTTCTTTATTGAATAAAAACAATTAAATCTAAGAGATAAGTGGGGGTTTTAAAAACAAAGTTTAAAAGGATAAAATAAAAACTACTCTACGGGATACACCACATCACATCATATTCCAAAGCAACAGACTATGGATAAAAACAGAACATAACTCCACCAAAAGCCCAAACAAAAAAGAAAAACACAAACAAGATCACGTAGCACATTATTTTAAAGATTTAAACAATTTTAGAAAAAGTAAACATCGTTTTAGAAAATAAATTTCCAGGTCTAATATTTGATAAAAATAAGCATAATCATTGACCAACTGTAAATCAAAACATGGGTTAGGCTGAAGAAGCGGTCCACCAACGGTTCTTCCCTATTTTCCCATTCATAAAAGCGATTGTTAAGACCAACAATAACTCTAAACCCTACTACCCTTAGCAACCCAAAGACGAACCCCTAGATTACTACTAAGAATAACGCACTAAAATCTTTGGAAAACATCACCATAACAACTTTGGAGTAACACAAAGGTTATTTAACAAAATCAGTTCTAGAACCTTGATTAGCAAAAATCACTTAATGAGGCAGCCTGATACTAATCAAGTGACACTTAGTTTCTAGAAAAGTTTGGTCATTTAAAGCACTTTGGACTT